AAATAGATATGTGCATTTGTTTCATGATCTGCTTAACAATAGCGGAATGATGGCCATTTTAAGGCCGAAAATGCATCAAAATCACGTATTTTCACAATTCCAGAACCGGATCTCAGTCATGCATGGATGGATTTTGTTCAGATTTAGCACAATGTGTTGTACATTATGCAGGTGCATTTCGGTCATGATCTGCTTTGAATGTATATGTCACTCAAATATGAACGGAACGGGGACGTGTCATTGACAATGACTTGTTCATCAGTATAAAGTCATCAGTATAAAGTATAAACAGATGTCCTGTATGAAAATTGAGAAAAACTGATAAAATATTTTGACTGTTTCTACTTGACTGATCACTGGTGATACACATCAAAGGTCACTGATCTCAGTGGAAATATGCATTGTTGTATGTGTTCAATGAAGCAAATCATTTATCTTGTAATAATATTCTTGGTAATGTATCTCAGAATCCCTTACTGGGTTTCAAAACCAACTCATGGAGAGATTGCACAGTCTGATACACATTTGCAAACCTACCAATAAATCTTTACAGAAAACAAGATGTCAGAAAATCAATATAAGCACTCCTATGAACTGGGTGCCAAACTTTGATCAAGATCTGATGCTAATAGAAAATCTGTTTAGTTCAAAGTTATCAAATCAAAAACAATACATAAAAAATACATAAAAAGCAAAACATTTCATCCACATTTTAAAAAGAAAATTGTTCTAAAATATATGTATTCTGTATTTGACAAACAGTTCATTTTTTCGACAAATGAAAACGCACAGGAATATGTTTCAGCTATTAGAACAGAATGATAGAGTTTTTATAATACGAGTTTAAAAACTCACTTCAAACAAAGATTGCAGTGTTTGAAGATGTAGGTTCTCAGGAGGCAACAGTACTGTTGACTTCTCCCTCCACTGGACACCAACTAACTATTTAAGTTGATTTGCATACAAAGCAGAGCTTGCAACATGATAGCTATTCATAAAGGGTGTTTTTTTTTTTTTACTTTT